TATCGTGCTCAGGGATACATGGGCCTTGCACAAGGCCCCCAACGCACTGAGAAGCTCCCGGGCTTACACAAACCGCCACGAAAGGCAACACCGGAGGCGCTCTGGCCTCAACCCTGCCTGTGGTAATGCCCCCGAGGAGGGCGTGCCTGGAAACTGCGTTGCCTCACTTGTAAACCAACACCCAGCCGCTTGTTCTGCCTACTTTCAGCCTGGGGCTGGAAAAAAAGGGCTCAAAAACAGGGCCCAGATTTACATCTGGAAAACATTTGATACATCACTACAGGTTCTCTGCGGCTATCTACCACTTTATTAAAAAGAATGGGTCCTTCTGGAAAAAAAAAAAAAGAAAAGTCCACTTTCAGGACCATTGCAAAGGAAGAGGAGGAAGCAGTCGCATTTCGCCTCAGCCGCATCTGTGAAGTGCAGCATTTCAACCCACTTCCTCTCATTATCAATAAATGTCCCCTTTCCTAGTAATACTGGAACCTGTGATACATTTGAGCATGCAGGATGCACAGTTTTTGAGTAGCAAGAAATGTGACTGTTGAAATCAAGTCTATAATTGTCACCAGCTTCAACACTGTATGTATCATAAAGGGTTTAGCACATTTTGTATTGATGTCACTAGGATACTTATGCTATGTGTGACCTCTGCCTGTCTACCCTGGGACCCTACTCCTGTCCAACCACCTCTGCCTGTCAGTGTATCAAACAGCAAAGCAAGCTCTGTTATAGGAGTAAAGCCAAACATTTGGGGAAAACCATTAATAAAACCAAGGTTTCTGTTTTACAGCTTAAAGGACCATGACAGCATGACAGTTTTTAAATACAAAATGCTTGTTGTACATTAATTATTTATCTTGCAGAAAATGCTTATAAATGTACATTGCCTTTGTATTCCTATTTCTTGGCTAAGCGAAACTGTAGAGCACAAAATAGCAAAACAACTGACAATTCTCTTCATAATGCACAAAGAACTAAATCAGTGTGCAAGTAAAGAACTACACAGAGTGCAACAGGAACACGGAGTGGCCCTTGCTGACAATCTCCTTGTATGAGCAGCATCTCCCCTTTCTAATACAGTTTATTACTTCTTAATTTCAAGCATCTGGCTCTGGAGGCAGTTGTAGATAGAGACAGGACATCTCTTACCTTTGAGGAAACTTCCAGCTGGTACCAATACCTGCGTATTTATGTATTTTGATTACAAGACTTGTAGGGAGAGCTTTGTAAAAATCAGAAACCAGAAGCAGGACGTCCCCCACCATCTCACTGCTTATCTGCAGAAGTAAAGAACGGCATCCGCCCGCCAACCAGGAGAGGTAGAGAAGGGCAGCATCCAGCTCACACCTCAGATTAATAAGATTCAGCTTTTCCTGGGAGGCCTCTCATTCCCATACGTGTGTTTGGGCAATACAACTCAATTCAGACTCAAGAAAGCTATTGACTAAGTTTTCCCCTTTTCTTCCCTAGTGTTTATTTGGCAAAATCTTATATTAAAAAAAATGGGGAGCACAAGGGATTCTAGGGTCAAGCAGCTAAAACTTAGGGGGTTGCAATATGCATCTCAGGTGAAGTGTCCCCTGGGATTTAATTTTCAGTCTGCCATGACCTTGATAACTGCAAGGATTAAACAGTAAAAAGATAAAATATAAATTACTTTATTTGTTTTATAAAGGCGACTCATATGTAATTTTGTAAGAAACCATTTGCAACTCATGTCCAAGATAAAGTGTAAATTCTTTTAGCATTAACAGAACACAGTAAATGTCAGTATCCCCATAAAAATATCCAGGTAGCAAAATTTACTTTCTTGGAATTGTGCAACAGGAAGGCAATTCGAAAATCCCTGAAAGTTTAAAGTATTTGAAAATCCCATACATTCGATCAGGTACAAAGCACCAGAAAACAAAACAATCACAAGCTTCTTTTCTGTTAGTACTAATCATAATAGAAATATCTATCATAATAGCACATTTAAATACAACATTTTCCTTTAAACTTCTTCAACGTCTCATTTACAGGCCTGTTGCATACAGTATTTCCTTAATAAACCCACAGGGCAAGTGCAACTTCCACACATTTAACTAGGTTCCTTAATTTCTGCACATGTGACATTAATGACCTGCCTAGCCAAGGAAACCAACGTGCAGATTGATTCTATAGGGGCTGCACCCCTCCCCTATGAGCACTGCTTGTCCCACTGCCCCTCTCAATAGTGCAGGGAATGGTGTGTGTCTTGTCACCTAGCACCAGAGAGCAAGAGGCAAAGTGCTGTTAATGGAGAAACTTTAACATTGAGTTGCTAGAAAACAAACAATAAGAAGAACTTTTTAGGAATATATTTCAATAGATGAAGGGAACGAGAGAGAACAGCACAGGACAATCTAGGCTTCAATCAAACTCTGTTTCTTAAAAGATTTCTGGAAGGCTAAGATTTGGCTATTGAATTACAAGACTTTTTCCCTCCTAAACATTCTATACTACTAAGATGAAAATATATCTGCGGATATGTTGAGTAATATAACAACAATATTTTGGTAGTTTATTAAACGAATCAGTAGGATTTTTTTGATCATTATATATCACAGATTCAAATAGTGGTCAGAAAATGTTTAAATTAGCAGCTGTTTCCTGCACTTAAGGTAATGCTTAAATGAGTATAAATTTCCTATATGAAATGACTTAAGCTGTTTTAGTAAAATAGGGTATATCCAAAAAACCCTATCATCTTAAAACTAAAACCTTATGTGACAGATTAAGATATATCCCCTTCTTTAATATAATACGGCTGTTAAGCACATACAGCGATGTTTATATGTATTAACAATATTAATGATAACCTCTAGATTCTATAAGCTGTATTTACTGTAGTTTCATTCTTTTAATAAAATGCAGCTCACATTCTCAACAGCTTATAACAAAGTGAAGTATTTTTTTCCTCAGTGTTCAAAGTACTATGTACTTGTCATACACATTTTAACTATCCCCAGTGAGTATCTGCATTTCCATGCATCTCCTACAAAGACTTCATCTATCCAGTCATTTCTAACAGGGCAGAAATGAACAAGTGGTTGGGGAGAAGAAAAGCACAAGGTGTTTTATTTATTTTTTAATCTGAGATCCATGTTTTTTCCCTTTCTCCCACCGTAAAATTCTGAAACCCAAATAACTTATGGTAAAAATACAAACTCTGTTTTGGAAAAAAAACAACATACAAAATATACACAGTGTAGTGTGTGCACCTAAATATCTTGATTGTCAAGTAGCACAAGTTTCAACTTTGAGATATACGCATTTTTGTAGACAAGAGTTTGTTTTACTGATCTTTTCTGATCCCGTTTCTTGTCATCTTTGGTAGTCTTTGCCCCTTTGTGTAGGCATGGTACCAGAAGTGCAGAAACAATACTAAAAACAGTGAGCCATACAGCCAAATAATAAACATGAAAATTGGATACTGGTACTGACAATCTTCCATAACGTAGATTTGTCCTATGTGGCCCGTAACCATAATAAACTGGACCTGGAGAAGAAAGGTAAGGAAAAATAATATTTAAAAAGTAAACTTACTATACAAGTTACCTCATGTACATAAAGAAAACAAGGCTGGGGATGCTTTGTCCTCTATGGAGGTGGACCTATGAAGCACTCAAAAATATTACTCCACCAAAAAACCTTTTAACAGAAAAAAAAGGAAAGGAAGCCCTGGGATAAACTGAGAAGAAGTCTGCACTTTCCAGATCAGAGAGAGAGAGAGAAGAAAAAGAAACAAATAAATAAACAAAAACAAAACAGAAAAATGCACACATGTACAGACCTGTCTAACTAGTGATGAGTTGGATACTCCTTTAGAAAAAAATTGACAGCAGGAGTGGTGAACGTAAGTTTCCCCTCACCCCTACCTTACACATTGTCATGTTACACAAACAGTTCTATGAAATTTTTAAAGAAAAATGTTCTCCATAAAAGGAAAGTTAATTATCACAGGTTGTACTACCAGGACAAAAAGACTTTAAATGGATCATAATTGTTCAGGCTCAGGCCAAGCTAATATTTTAGTCAGAACCAGAGTTTTGAGAATTCAGCTATAAAAAAAAAGCAGGAAATGAAAAAGTAGCCAGAGCAGTCACCATTTCAAAGTGATTTGCTACTAATAGAAGAGTTAATGTAGTTATTGCAAAAGGTTTCAGGCTCTGAACTACAGAGAGGAGAATTCTTTAAAATCAAACAATTCCTGTGAAAGAATGGACAAGAAATTCATAATACTCGCAATGACACATTTTTTTTTCATATTACTGTTTACATATGTATTCTGTGTATTAATAGGTTATTATTATTGGCAAAAACTTATATTCTAGTCATTTTTACACAGGCAGTTAGTTTTGTAATTTTATTCACCAAGTCCTGCATAAATGAAAACTTCACATATAAATATCAGGGCAAATGCCGGAATCAGCAGAGCTGAGTGGATTTTGCGTGAAACTAAATAAAACAAAGTAAAAATTCACTGCGTAAAGTCTGCATTAGTCACACCGAGCTCTCTGAGCAGTGTTGAAGTCAAGCAGAAAAATACTCACAAGCTGTATAGTTGTCATGTGTTTTTTCCACCACAAATATTTATGATAGGCTGGTCCCAAAGAACAGATTCCATAGTAAGTGTACATGATGACATGAACAATAGAGTTCAATAAAGCATGAAACGTTCCTAAACCACCTGTAGAAGAACAAAATATAGCAGCATTATTGCACTACATACTTAAAAAGCCACCTTGGGAGATCTGGCAGATTGTTCTGAGGTGGGGGACGGACACACACACACACACACACAGCTACAGACTTTGATTAGCCCTTAAAAATACTTAACCTGCATTATGCTGACAGCAATTCTGGAGAGTCTTAGCAGTTTTCCTTCTCAGTGAAGGCTTATCCAGTCATTTCCGAAGCAGCAATAAAGCCTAACTCATTTATACATATGATATTTGCAATAAGTTTTATCAGTTATTTTATTTTTTTTCTTTAAAACATGCTCAAAGAATTTAGCAGCAATTGTTCCTCCTGCTTTATGCTGGTTTTCTGGGCATTGTGATGAACTTGGCATAGATATAGAGGAAAAAATGTGGTTTTCTCCTGAAAACAGAGATTTCCAGGGAAAGAATCACAGTTTCAGATAGTCAGTTTTGGGAGTCACGATCTAAGTGAAAGTCTCACTAATCCATGTTCCTCCTCAAACCATATTGACAGGGGAAATGAAAATTAAGGCTAAGTAATTCCCTGGTTTGAGGCAAACTTATGACTCAGACTGGCAAGACAGAAACATTGCAAAAAGTGAGCAAAGATTCTTCTACTATGGATCAACTACGGGATTAGATGATGCTGCCAAAAGTAATTTTATTTTAATGAACAGAAGAAATTGCAGATAAAAATGACCCAAGAATATATATATATATAGAGAGAGAGACAGGAAAGTATTTCTGAAATATAAACACAAAATTATTGAGTACCAAAGGAAAAGAGAGTCATGAAAGCCAGACACTTAATGAGCAATTTTGTAATCAAATGCCAATTTTTTATTAAGAATCATTCAAATTAAAAATAAAATGTATTTTATGATTTTTTATAGTTCACACTAGCCTTCCAGCTTTGTAAATCGTGACCACTTAAGCTGTGCCTAGAAGCTCTATTTGAAATGTAGCTCTGTGTATATCTGAAAATAATTTCAAGTGTCCCTGCAATCCAAATTACAGACTTTCTGGCCTGTGTTTTTTTTTTTTTTTAAAAAAAGAAGGAGAGAGTTAAAGAGAGAGTTAAATGCATGGACCCCATTGGAAATTCCCTGTTAATATCAGGTTAGAGAGAATTAGCCTCTCCTTTCACAACCTCACTGTTTTTTTATGTTCCAAAGCTTCATCAGTAGAGACTGTACACCACTGTTTAGAAGGAAGAAGAAATGGTCATGAAACTGAATACAAGATAAACATGAACAGGACTAAAATTCTTGGAAACAATTTTAAGTTATCAAACAGAACAGCATTTGGGAAGATTAGTAAAAAGATAAGCAATCCAGTGTTAGAAACAAACACAGCTCTTCCTGAATATGAGGGAATATCACTATCGGAGGACAAAACAGATCTTGCAAACTTTTCAGAAAGTGGCAATTTATCACATGGGAAAATTGATTCTGAAGATAAATCAGAAGCCTGCTGCTGGTGTACTGATCTGGTGTTCAGATAAAAGCCAGAAAGTTCATCACTTTTCAAGGAGGAAGAGCAGGGACTGTTAGTTGTTGAGAATTCTTAGCAAATCTAAACTACTGAACTCTACAAACTATTTACAATTTCATCATTAAAGTATCAGTCACCCAAGAACTTTTGAGAAAGATCTCATCAAGACATCAGATTTTCAGTAATAAAGACTGAGTAACGAAAATAAAAGTGTATCCTGTTGTACACTGCACCCTGAATCCTTTTTTTTTTTTTTTAATTTGCAAAACAAGCGCTAACAGACCAGGTGTCATAAGCAACAGTCATTGCTGATTCATCAATTTGTTGCCCATTTTCTTAAGAAAAATAAGAAAGAAAAGAAATAAGAAAGAAAATGTGATTAAAGATATATGTACAAAAATACATTCCTTGGTGCAAACTCCTTCTGCTTATACTGAATGTTTAAAAAAAAAAAAAAACCAACAAAACGAACCACCCACACACTACAGATATCCTAATAAATGACTGTGCATTTCTCCACTCTGCTCTCACCAGGATATTTTTATGGCATGCTGTATTTATTAGTGTTCCACACTAATACTCGAGCATAGAAAAATGCATTCCAGGCAAATAAAATGCAAGGATCAGTCCTTTTTTTGCTCTTCAGAAAGACTGCAGAGTAGAGAAAAGAAAATATCTTAATAGGTTTGTGAGGGACAGAGTATTATAAATAAGCTTCAATTATATGATCCAAGACCAGTAAAAATAGCTGAAACAAAGCCTGAGCAGCTTTTAAAGTAGGCAAAACAAAAGACGCTAAGAACAATGAGAACAAACTTCTCCCATCCAATTCAGTGCTTATGTTTCAAGGGAAAGATGCTTCTAAGGAAGTTCCAGAGTATCTGCCCCATGCTTCTCCCTAGCACTCCTGACTTTTTATTTTCATGTAAAAATGCTCTTGGTGTATCTACGCCTCTCTTCTCTGAACATTCTTCCCCTAGCAGAAAGCAAGGGGACACAAAATGCTGCCAAAAAAGTACTTCTTCACTTCTGTGTGTTACGTTTTTTAAATGGAGAGTGATTTCAGCTGTTAAAAAGAATCATAGAATCATTATGGTAAGAAAAGACTTTCAAGATCACTGAGTCCAACCATACATGACAGCTATAGACATCTACAATTTAAAACAATGATGTTCCAAGATTTTTAATTTTTTCTTTAAATATTTTTGACATTTTTTCTTTTTAACTTTTGCTACCAGAAGATATATATAACTTAAACTGTCTTGCTACTACCTGCAGCAAATTTGACTCCAAACCACCAGGTCCATGGCATGATGGAATGATGAAAGACATGCAGGAATGTAACTTGGCTGTTCTTCTTACGCAGAATAAAAAACACCTGAAACATATTTTAATAAGCACTATGTTACAGAAACCACACAAGCCCAACAGACTTAGAATAAACTGTATGCTCCCTACTATATAAGAAGTCTGGTGTGCTAGGAAAAACGTGTGTGCTAGGAAAATGGTTGTCTGTTAAACACAGCCAAGAAGTTTCCTTAACAATAAAAAACAAAAGCTGAGGAGAAACAGGTACCTGATTAGGAAGATTCAAAATAACTATTTTGAATAGGTGAATAGGAACTATTTATAAAGACACACTGTAACCACTGGGTAGCAAAGCTAATCAGAGAGCTAAACTGGCCAGGCTTTTCCAGTTTCTGCTTTCCTAGTCCTTCCATCGGCATTCTCAGTCAGAATGATGTTCAGGTGCTGAATCATGAAGTTTTCAAGATGAAAGTGAGATGAAAGACTCTCCTTGCAGAGTGCAGGACACCCTAATTGCTCATTAGGTAGCTTCTGAGTCACCACTCTTGTGCCAGATACAGCAAGGCAGCCTGGAACCACGGGCAGGTCCCTCACAGTCAGAAGCTGTTGTGAGAAACGCAAAACCAGCCCTGCTAGGAAGCGCCTGTCTCAAAGAGAGGGCAGCAGAGAACTGGTAAGGGCAAGGAAGGGTATGCTCTGCTTTGATGTAGGGCTGCTCAGACTCTCTTTGAAACAGCTCAGAGTGCAGGACTAGTATTGGCCACATCTATAATTATGGCCACCAACCAAGGCATGCATGTGAATCTGAAGCAGGCAGGTATGGCAACTTATGCTGTATGCAGAGTTGTTGGTGCAAACATTCGAAAGGTGGAAGATAAAATCTGAAGATGATATCAAGGAGAAGAAAAAAAAAAAAGAAATATAACCAACGTCAAATTTAACCTGCAGTAGTCAGTGTTGAGACAAATATCTCACAGTTTATGCTTAAGACATTGGCTTAGTGCATTCAGCTGCTGAACAAACAACTTCCTCTTTTTCTTAACGGGCTTCCTTTTTCTTAAAGTTCTTTTTTGCAAATCAACTTTTTCACTTATAATCAAGGATCAACAGTGTAAGTGGACAATAAGATGAGGAGAGATAACAAGGGTAAACACCTTGTTGGGAGTCCAGTAACAGAAGGTGGACTAATCAACAATTTCTTCCTCTCACCCCCCAAAACAGCATTGATTCTTTGACAGTGAAAAGGAAACTGCACTACTTACAAATCTACAAATACTTACAGTGTCTAATAATTCAATGAACTTGGAGAAATAGTAAAGCCAACAAACTCGTAGCATCTGCAAGCATGAACAGAAAGAGTCAAATCATTATAATTAAGACAGAAATCTAAAGGAAAAAATAAATAACTATATAATGGGAAAGTATACAGACAAGTGATGTCATCTCTGGTAACAAAGTTGACAGAATGAGATTTAACCATGCAGTTGGCTTTTTTATTTGTTTTAAACAGTAAACCCCCCTTAATCCTGCTGGAATTCTAAAATCAAGGTGAACAAGCCAACAAATACATTGCCTGTTTACTTTTCCTAAGCGACCAACCCCTTCAGTTAACTCGCAAGCTCTGTGTTTTGCCAAGGGCATTTCCATTAGCGCATTCTGCTCTACAGCAGTGCGCTCTGTTGCTCGAAAAGGAGTTGCGAAAACAAAGTCAGTGCAGCGTGACTAGCTTGGCCTTACATCTGCCCACTTACCCTGAGAGCTGTAGGTGACCTCGAGTAGTCAACAATATCACACCGGAATGAATACCCTGTGGCCCAGCCTGACATAAGAAACTGTGGCAAAGAAAAAAAGGAAAAGAAATAAAAAGGAAAGGTCAAAGGGTTACTTTATGACTTATAAAAGATTCAATCATTTCACTTTTGCAATCTGCTAAGCATGAGAAAACAAAACAAAACAACAACAACAAAAAAATTAAACTTGTTTGTTCAGCAACCTTGTCAGCCATTCACCTCTGGGTATGCTAAGCACTCTAGAAACCTTTGCTGTTGCAAATTATCAGATTCCAAACTCAAGAACCACACCTGTGGATGAAACTAGTTTCTACATCCCACTCTGTCACTATTAGTAGCTGACAAAGTTAAGCACAGGATAAACTCAAAATAAATACTGGATACACATCTTGCAATTAAATCAGGTCAGAAAAGCAAGTCAACCACTTTTAAAATTTTGGAGTTTTGAAATGTTTGGCTCTAATAACTATTACAGGAAAAAACAGTATAAACAGAAAAGCATAGTCACTAAGACAAAGAAGCAATTAGAATGTCCTATATTTTGGGCCTCACAATTTCTAAAATTGTGTTTAATAACTGAACTGCTTGATGCAATTAGTCCTCCATTAACAAGCTGCATGAGAAGCTAAGGTTTTACAATCAAAAGCAGAAGTGCAGGACCAGTGGACTGCATATGGCAAGTATCACATGGAATATTTTCTCTTCCAACTCAGACAAGAATAACATCATTAAAATTACATGTGGTTGACTCTCTTGACAGCCACTAGGACTGTCAGATTATTTTTTTTAAACAAAACTCCAAAATTTGTCATTTATTTATCAACATAATTCACCACTCATGAATGATAGAAAGTTTCTTGACAGATGAGAGTTTTAGTCCATAACTGCAGCAGATGTTTGTTTCTAAATAATCATTTGCTTAAATTGAACAAGATTTGGAGCACCAGCAGGATGGCACAATGCTAAAGCACCTACAAAACAGCTTGAATTTAGACAGGGAAAGAATTGGCTTTTTGCTGAGACACAAATAATGTCTGAGATTCTCTTTGTTTTACTATCTCTGCATTCTTTCATGAGATTGTAAAATAGGAACCTTGACAGCAGATTATTCAAATACTATTTTTGTATTGATTCATACTTTTTAAAATTTAATTTTTGTTTTCATTTATAAGGATTTAAAAACGAGCAAACACAACACCTAGTCACAAAGAGAAGCCTGGAGGTTTTTCAAAACCAAGGGTCAAGTAACCTACTGCTCGCCCCTTGCCCAACACTGGCTTTTGACACAAGAGCTATTTCACAGAGCTGCAGCCGCTGCATGCACTGACGTGAAGAGCGGGGGATTCGCTGTAATGCTGAATGCAAGTTATGCAAGTCGAGTTAACACAAAGGTCGCCAACCTGCATCTGCAAACTTTTCATTACCAATTTGCCAAACCTGAAATAGCTGCATTGCATTGAACATGAAGAGGGGCGGTACCACAACAGTCAGGTCAGGCAGATGTATAAATAAATGTTTCATACACACAGAATGAAGTATAATAAATAGCTTCTTCAATAAAAAATATAGTTACTAGTGGCCTTAAACATTAAAAGATGTCTCCAAGTAACAGCTATTACATAATCTGCACTACTCAAGCTTAAAGATTTTTAGGTCATTCACCACAAAACTCTATGTGACCCATCTCACTTGAAAGTCTAACTCTTGCTTGGGATATCAACTAGAGCAAGACTCCCTTTGAGAGAAAGGGTACTTATTATTTATAAAAAGTCACTGCTAAAGATTTTTCTTTTTTAAGGATAAAAATCCCTAAATTAGATATTGTTACCTTTTGCTATTTAGAATCTAGTTTTAGCTGAAGATTATTCTGCAGCTGAACATAGTCTATACAGTGTTTGAAACATCACTGTTGACTATCATGTAGCAGAACAGAAACAACTACAACAAAGACATGTAATCTAGTTTGCCTCTTCCAGCCTAGGGAAATTAAATAAGCTATGAAGTATTTTTAAAATGACCTGTAATGGCACATAAAGTATTTTACAATCTTCCTTTTAGGTATGAAAAAAGGGAGTATCAACTCAATTAGTTTAACATACTCCTTGGAGGAATGTGAGTAGAAGAAAATAATGTTTATTTTGAGAACTGCAGGGAGGAATTTTATCATTACATTCCTCAAAACATAGTGTGCCATAGTTAGAGACACAAATTTCAACACATTTGAAATAAATGCTGTACTTACTTCATAAGTCATATATATTGAAAGGGTTACCACACTAAAGTTGTAGAATGCCATTATCTGCCTGAGTTCAAAAGGCTTTTTATTTTCCATGAGTTTGGGTCCCAAAGAAGTGACAAAATAAATGTAGGTTCCAACAATAATGGTTGTTGGAAAAGGTGAGGACATGAGCGGCCAGCCTTCCACTCTTGGGTCTAGGAAAGGGCAAAAAAAAAGAAAGAAAGAAAGAATACATTTAAAAACAAACAAACAAACAAATCTTTCCAGTACTTATCAGGTCCTAAAAAATGCTGATTTTTATTCAGCAAGTTTCTGTATTGACAGTTCCAGCTGCCAAACTCATTCACTGCAAATCTCCATTGACTGGTGCGCAGGGTGTGCACCTGCCGGATTCCAGGCATCGACCCTTCGCACATGCAGCCAAGAGGATAGACAGCAGTCCAGAACTGGGAGCTCTGGTTTCTGAGCTAATGCTCTACCTGAAGAAAAGCCCACTTTTTCACATGTTACCACAGCTGGGGAGGCAGCAGAGGAATATAACAGGCAAGCAGAGCATGGAGGCTGAATCTCCAAAGCAGGCTTCAACTCTTCTCAGGGGCACAACGCTTGTTTACCAAATTCAGGTCACAGAAGAGCAACAGCCCCACTTTTCAAAATCCTTGAGCCTCCTAAGCTGGGTGGGGTTAGACAAAGTCATCAGAGGGATTTTGAAGTTAGAGGATGTTCTGTCCCATCAGCTGATATTCCTAGCTTAGTACTTGAGGCCTATTAAATCCAGATATGCCAGCTCTTTCATTGCACCATAGAACAGCTGGTTTCATATTGCAAGTTTACAAATGACAAAATTGCTGCAAGTCCCTCTCCAGTTATCCCGCACAGCTGAACCTTTCAACAGTCCTTCTTCTGCCTGCATCCCTGTGGGGCTGACCACAGCAGACCCTCCAGCTTCTACCACAATTTACTTGCTTTGTGGTCCATCACAGAGGCCTGGCTTGCTAAAGGCCTGGCCATTTCTCTTTAACAAGGAGAAAGCTGAACTAATTTCTTTTTCCTGGTTTAAATAATCAGACTTTTGGAAGTTTCATTTCTGAATGACCCCAACTTCACTATTGTGTCAGTAAATTACTGCTTTCATGCTTCGCTGCTGTGCTTCGCAGGTGTAATTTTACCACTACACATTTTTGTTAAACATTTAATTTATGACAGAACCGCTCCAGGTTAGTGATCATCAGCCCATGGCATTCAAGCAGCATATTATCCCTGGCACTCTCTCATGTTGTTTCCAGACACTGGAAATTTAATATAGACCAGGAGGAGAGCAAAATACAAGGCTGCTTACAGCCTGTGAGGTGCACAGTCCTGCTGCCCACACACCAGCAAGGACACTAGGTAAAAAATAACACTAGGTAAAAATGCCAACAGGCAGCAGATTAAAAAAAAAAAAAAAAAAGAATTCTGTACACATGGTACTGCAAGAGAATTACCAGCTCTTGACAAGCCCAAGCTTGAGATCGTTTGTTGTTTCTTTGACAAACACGAAGAACTACAGAACAGCAATGTTAAACCAAAGCACGTTTAATACTCTCCTACCAGCTGCAACAAGAGAATTATGTTCCTCTTCTAAACAGGAGTATAACACAGTGAATTACTCCTAGGAATCATTTCAGAAAATATCATAACTCATCACGTTTTGTGCTTCCTTTACTTGCTATGTAAACATTAAAGCAAAATATGGTAATACTCTGCGCCTAACTATTAATTGATAAAATAGCATTAGCTTTGCAGCAGCAACAAAAAAGCTTTATACTCAGTAGCACAGAAAAATATAAAGTACTATTTTCTGTCAAGCCAGAAAATCCTTATACTATACTTTTAGTCTGGAATTTAAATCCATAAGAATATAGGTTTTGTTTTTCCCTCTTTTTTAATTGCAGAACCTATTCCATTCTTTTTGGTTCAAGATGTCAATAAACAGCTTGTCAAATCTTAAAAAATATTTACAGGAAGACAAAGCTACTTAAAGTTGTTGATAAACATTATATTAGAATGTACAAAATACTATTCAAAAATCATTAAATCATCATAAAGTGAATACATTTTAGACTGAAATGACTCACCAGCATCCTTAATCCATTCATCATAAAGTAGTACAGCCTTTGATGTCAGATTGCTTAGGGCCATTTTCACTTGACTAAGATTTTATGATGTTGCCTGCAGGAAAACAGAACAAAACAGAAATACAGATTTCCCAATTAATGAAAACAAAGATGAATAAACTGTTTGGGGAAAGATTTTCAGGAAGCAGAAAAAAAGCATAGAGAATGTTGACAGTGCCCTGCATGAGAAAAGACAGACTGGGGAGCGTTAGCTGACCACATGCACTATGCTCGGTGCTAATTCATAGCTGAGTTATTGGGCGCAACTGTATGATTTCGTAATCTCTCCATGCCAAGTTATGTCCTTACATGTCATAAAGTGTTATCTCAGGAAACCATGCTGTGGTTAACTGTTGAAGTTGAGGGGAAAATATAAATAAAGGGTAGCTGATTACATACATTTTTATAACCATCTCATTTAAAGTTCAATTCATTGATAGAAAAAATTCAGCTTCGCAGTACTTGCTCTTAATACTCAGAACTCTGATTTTATAATAAGTAGTAGTTTTAAGATTGGAGGGAGGGAAGAGAGATGCCACTGTGTCTGCCTACTCCTTTTAAATGCAATAATTAGTCATGCTACAATTGTATGCAAATTTCACTCTGATGAATCAACTGTTTCCACACCAGGACTGTGAAGTGTCGTACCACCACCAGTAATATCGGTAACTCACAAAACATACTCAGCACATCTACTTTGCAAGCAACACCACCCGCATATGTAAAGCAGAGCTGTTGTGCGTATTGATTTTTGCTGCAAAAGCAAATACTCATTAACCCCCAGAAAACACTTAGTTTATATATGCATACAGCAAATATACACATATGTAGATATGCACATGTGTTTTCCCACCTGAACGGTGCCTCTCCTATTCTCATTCCAGTGTCTCACCTGGCTACATGGATCCTGTGACTGCACAAGCCCAGAGCAGGGTTTGCCCTGGCCGGCCCTGCCCCTTCCCCGCAGCCTCCGCCAGCTGCCACCCCAGCCTCTTCCACCCACCCCACGGCGACGCCGCCTCCCTGCTCTCTCCCGCAACTCCTCATTCACCCTCACGTTATCAATCCTGCGTAGTAACTGCACTCTAATCTCCCTTCTAAATTTATCTCCTGCTCCGTTCCTTTGCATAAGGGTTTTCAGGCACCTCAAAGCACCAAATCCAGCCCTCAGCCCAAGGTGCAGACTGGCAAGCCCGCTGTCATTAGAGTCCCTCTGATCTCCCTCTCCCCTGCTTGCATTTGGTTACCACTTGTTTTCCTAGTTAGCCTTCCAGGTTATGTGCCTGCATGTCTGAAACCACCATCCAGTTTCAGTTCAGAAACTGTTCGCTCTGCAAATCTTCCAGAGTTCACATCTTCCAGAAATGCCATGCTCCAACATCAACATTTCCCTTGTGAATGTCAGCCTTTGTGCTGACCATCTTCAGGCACATACTCTGTACTACCTTGCACCACGTGAATTTAGAGAACTACTTGACATATCTTGAGTACAAAAGTGGGTGATGAGTTCCACGTTTCCTCATCATCACCATATTTAAGATATGGCATACTTCTTGCACTTTACAGCCTAAAAACTATTTTTTGTGGATGCCAAAAGGATAGATATTGAGGCAACAAGCCTATCTTCCTTCACAAAAACAAAATAATTAAAATTTAAGATATTTCTCTTTTTATATATTGTTTTTTTCCTTACCTTCTTTCTTACAATTAAGATATGTTTTTTATTGAAAAGATAATATATTGAGCTATCAAACATTTTCCATAAATGCAAAGTTACTCTCCACTGTTCAAAGGAAAACAGAAGATACAGCAACTAAAAGGCAGAGGACATGTACCACAGTCTGCTAACTGTAATGCGCCCTTCACAGAAGTGATATTCTGCTAGTACACAGAGCTGAACTTCAAAGTTAAGTCAGTGTTTCCACCACACACCCTTGGATACGAAGGACTGCCGAAACAACTCTGAACATTCACTAAGGGTCAGAAGCTTCACTGAAAGCCATCAAGATATTTCTGATTTTAATATCTAAGTGCACAACAGTCAACTTCTACTTACATAAATTAATCTGCTTACTCCGAACTGCTGACCGTGTTATTCTAACATAGTAAGCATAGCTCAGACTTGTGGACATTGTAGTGTTTCAATTCAATTTCAGTTGGATCCAATAAGTGGATCAAAGATTCCTTTTTTATTCAAGTGAAGTACAAGTATACTTAAAAAAAAAAAAACACTTTCCAATCCATGTAGCTTATACCACAGCCACACATCAGGAACTAGACTTCTTCAGAGATTTCAGCTTCATCTATTATCTTTTTTTTTTTAAAAAAAAAAAAAACTTGATTGTTCCTCATTCACATTGAGCAGATAATGCTGATCACTTGGTGATCACCAGCAAGTGGTGATCACTTGCTGTAATCACTAAACCATTTTCTACATATTTCTGAGCTCTAGCTGTGCCCAAAAGTCCACAGCAACTGTATTTATTCCCAGATGTAACGCGCATGCATGCACAATCTGCCCGAGCTCAAGGGCACACATAACCATGGTCGCTTTTTATCATAGCCCAAAAAAGGAAGAAGTCTGTGTTCGCTCTGACCAACTCAAACCTGCAACACGGGCTGCAAAGGGCACCAACACATTAAAAACTCTACACCTACAAAAGTGTTGGCAAGTCAGGGCAAGGAGGAGACATCCCCTTCCTTTCTAAGGGAGAATTCAGTAATGCGCTCCATGAGAAACATACTCTGTGGTCAGAGGTACAATATCCCATCATCTTGCTCCATAAGCCAAGCTGTGGATGATATCATATGTAAAGTCTATGCCGTCTTCAACACCTAGTAACTTCAGTCTGATAACTACAGCAACCCAGCTACAAATGACTGAGACAGACACAGCAGGGGGAAGGGAAAAAGAATCTATGTGTTATAAATATTTTATTAAAGCAGACTGATTATATTATCCTTATAATCGAATGTTCTTTCTATTTCAGCCTTATGAGTCTCTGAAGAGACAAGGCAGAACAAACAGAAGACACACACAGCTCAGCAGTATGGCAAACTTCTACAAGGATATTCTACCAAAAGCTACACACACCTTGTGCATAGCATGGCTCAAATGTTTCAATAAAACTATAGTAACTGAATACAAACTACCATGCTATATTTAATCAGCACTTCAATAAAACAAAGTTTAATGACTTCGCTGCGCACTCACACTCTCCACGCTCTCATCCTGACAAAGACATTACTGCAATTCATGCATTCATGCTGGCTAGCTCAGTCTGCTGACTAAACTCTATGTTAAATTAACAAGTTGCTACTTCAAAATATGCTCTCAAATATCCAGAATATTCTGGTGTAGTTGCTGGCTCAAGATGTGGCTGCCATTTATTGCAGGTCTGGGGGAGGAGTGGGTCTGCCTTTTCCTCCCTTTATGGGGCAACCTTCCGCCTCTGCAAGCTGACAAGTATGTAATTATACACATCTATCCTCCTACCTTGTCAATGCACCTTTAATTTTGTTACGAGTCACGCAAACACATTGTCGCTGTTTAAACAGCACTCCCTCACCTGCCAGCCACAGTGAGCAAAAGTGAGCTTTTTACCTGGAACCAGGCTCTCGGCCCCACCGAGCCGCCGCTCCCAGGGGACGCAGGGC